GCTGAAGAGCAGCAGGATGTGCCAGTTGTACTTGGCCGAGCACTCGATGTAGCCGCACTTCCACGTCTTCTTCACCAGGTTGGAGACGTTCCAGCGCGGGATCACCCGGCCCCGCTGCAGGTCCCGCTTGTTGCCCACGATGATGATGGGCGTCTCCGAAGTGCCGATGACCCTGGGGAGGGCGGGCGGTGAGGGAGGACAGAAGGGGACGGGGCACAGCGCGATGATGGACCGGCCCGCGGACCCCAACCCATCCCAAACTGGCACTTGGCTTTGGCTTGCCAAGAGGGACGTGCCTCCTCTTGGCCTGTCCCCTTGTCCTTGTGGCCAGCCACCCGGCGTGCCAGCCCCAGTTGCTTTCCCAGGGATGGCTGCCCTCGCCCACAGGGGATACCTGCCTGGGGTCCTGTCCCTTCTCCTGCCCTCGGGTCCAGTTCTGCTTTTGCTTTTAGGCTCCCAGCCCTGCAAAGGGGCTTTGCCCCAGTCTCTAATATCTCATATCCAATGTCAAGAGCAGGGGAGCGCTGGGGTGAGCCGTACCGCCCCGCTGGGAAGCCACAAGGGGATGCACCCACTGGCGCAGTGGTCCCTACCTCGTTTCCAGGATCTGCTGGCGGATGGTTTTGATGTACTCGAAGCTGTCAAAGCAACAGATGTCATAGACCAGGATGTAGGCATGGACGCTCCGGAGCCCCCTGCAACACACGTCCGCCCACTCCTGCAAGGTGCAGAGAGGGATCAATCCTGGCTCAGCCCCATCGCCGTGCCCGGGGGCTGCCCCACACCACTGGGGCCGGGCACACCAAGGAGGCTGCTACGCCGGCAGGTAGCAAGGGGGCTGCACGCTCTCCAGCCCTGACACCCAGCACCCAGCTCACCTCTGCTCTGCCCCGACCCGTCCCTGAGACGGCTGCGTCTGCCTCCCGCGGCCCTTCTGCAATCCCCCCCCGCATCTCCGGAGATCCCTTATCCCCCTTGTTAATCCAGAGGAGAGAGAACAGGATCTGTCAGCCCCAGTTCCTCTCTTGAGCAAGGATTACAGCCTGCCTAACACCTGCCTAATGCACAGTGGTCCGGAGGTGAGCTGGGAGCAGGGCTGACTGCAACCCCCTGTCCTGGATGTAAAGCTTCACCCTCCAGAGCTGCTAATTAGGCATGTTAATTAGAGACGCACCCTGGTTTTCGGGCAGGGCGGGTGAGGAGGATGCTGAGGGTTGAGCAGAGCTCAGCCCGGCCCCAGCTCTGTGGGGCTGGAGGTTATGGACCAGCAGCTCCGTGGGTCAGAGCGGGAAGGTGACGGCAGGGCTCTTTGGAGGGGACACGGGGACATGGGGACAGGAGAGGAGCAGCAGCTGCGTCTGCCAGAGTGAGACTGGGAGCCGGGGCAGAGGCAGTTGGGGGTGGCCATTCCACAGCCAAAATTTGAAGCTGTAAGAAATACATGTTGTTAGGAAAGCTTTGGGTTTCCAGGAGTAACAGGATTTTTTTTTTCCCATGCTATAGGAGTGAAGATTCGCCCCACATCCAGCCACTTTGCCAGCCCAGCAGTGGTACCGAGGCTGCAGTGACACCCGGGCACGGCAGCCCGTGCAGGCAGCACCGCAAACCCTCCTGAGTGCAGCTGGGGAGGAGAAAGATGCACCAAGGAGGAAAGGCATCACTTCTCCCCGAGCAAACCTCTTCAGTACCGTGAATCATCCCTTTCTGAGCTTATCATCAGAATGAGGCAAAATGAGAAGACCTAGGACCAGAGGGAACTGGGAAAAGGAAAGTTTTGGGGTGTGGGTTGGTCTCCGTCGCTGACCGCAGCACAGGAAGGAGCTGAGAGCGAGCGGCGTGACGCAGCCCCTCTGATGATGTGTAGCTCCACGGTATCAGAGAGATGCAGGCGGATGAAGCAGCAGTTTCTCAGGTTACTCTGAGTCCTGATACACCTGGGAGATTAATAAATCGCAGCTATTTCACCACGCTGGGGCTCTGGCGCCGTGACGTCAGGATGGTTTTCCCGCGCAGGGCAGGTTTCCCGGGATGCTCAGGGCTGGAGGAGGGTTGCGCTGCACATCCCGCCTGGCCCCGTGCAGGAGCGGGGCATCAGGGAGCCGCCGGCCCCCGCTCCCCTCCCAGGAGCTCGCCGAAGGGGTGCTGCTCCCGGGCACGGAGCGGAGCCCAGTGATGCTTCCCAGCAGACAGAGCCGTATCCCCCACCACCGTCCTCTCCTTTCCCCTCGGAGACATCCCTCTGACCATCCTCTCTTCCCTGGAAACCTCCATCTGTTCCCACCGGCCGCCTCCTCTTGAGCGCAGCGAGGCAGGGAGTTAATTGAGTATGTTAGCGTCGTCTGCCGTGTCAATAAATTACCCTTTGCTATTTCGGGCTGTCTCTCGCGCTGACCTTTCATTCCCTGCACAGGCCAATTAATTTTTAAACCTCCTCCTCGCCCCCGGAGCACTCACTTCGCCTCCTGCCCGACGGCACAGGGGAAACTTGGAGCACTGCAAGGCCCCTATAACCCTGTCCCCGTCGGGCACGAGAGCAATATAATTATACTGATTAAAAATACAAGACAGTCCAGCTCCTTCGGAGGTGCCCCCACTGGTGGCATTACCAGAGCTTAAAATCCCCTTTTTCCCCATGAAGCCCCCCCCAAAGTGGTCGGCACTGGTGGCAACGCTTTCCAACCCCACGCTGCCTTTTGGAGCTGTTTTGGAAGCACCTGAGAGCGCTGGGGGTTTGAGGTGGGCTCAGCACTCCGGGGACAAGCCCAGGCAATGCTGGGGGGGTGACAGCCACCCCGTCAGGGGACGAGCAGCCCCGCTCCGCCTGGCTCAGGCAGTGGGTGCATTGGGGTCTGGATCTCCAGGAACCCCTGGTTTTCACCCGAACGCTCTGGCCACGCTCCCCCAGCCCTTTGCTGGCGCCGGCTCTGACAGCCGTGGAACCGGATCCCAGTGCTCCGGGATCCGCCGCCCAGCTGGACGGGACCGTGGGCATCGCCAGAGCCACAGTCCTCAGAGTGGGACGCCGTCCCTCCCGTGTTTGCCATCATTTTAGGTGAAAAAGCTTTAAAAGACACTTTATCCTGGAGCCGCTCAGCCAGTAGCCATGAGGATGCGATCCCTCGCACCAGCTTTTAGCAAGCAAACCCCGACGTGGAGGGAGAAGCATCTCCCGAAGAGGAGGAACCGGGACCTCGCAGGGTTCTACAGCAAAACCCCACTGAGGTCACTGGAGGTCCCCCAATGTGGAGGTCCCATCGCATCGAGCCGGGGACACCCCTACCTGCAGGGTGTTGACGGGGAAGGCGGTGATGGGGGGGAAGTCCATGATCTGCAGGTCGTGGACGTGGCCGTTCATGACGACGGCGGGCAGGTAGACACGGCGGGCCGTGGTGGGCACGCAGACCTCGCTGAACTCGTTGTAGAGGAACTGCCGGACTATGGCACTCTTGCCCACGCCCTGGGCTCCCAGCACGGCGATCTTGAACGTTGCCACCATGCCGCCGCGCGCCGGCCGCTGCCCTGGTGCTGCCCCCGCAGTGCCGAGGATGCATATTCCCGCGCAGGGGGCCTCAGCCCCATTCAGGATGCATTTCCCCTCCGGGACAGCCTGTCACTGCAAGGCCAAGGAAAAGCTGGTCAGATCCTGGAAACGCCCCGGCAGACCCCGCTGTTGCTTCAGGCAATATTTTTCCAACCAGGAGACCAGGGAAAAGGGTTATGCCTGTTCTCGGGGAGCAGGAGCATCCCCCAGGGCTGGGCGATATCCCCAGCAGCAGCCTCAGCACTGCGAGACCCCAGGATCCCCCTCGGAGGCTCCCACCCTGCAGAGCCAAGGAGAGCCAGGATTTGAGCGAGCTTTGTCCCAGGAAGGTTCTCACAGGCACATTCAGCCCTTTCGGTACCAGAGGAAGGAAACCTCCGGGAAAGCGACCATCTGTGGCTCGGGGTTTGCCCAGCCCGGCAGCAGCAGAGTCCTGGGCCATGCTGGGGACTTGGCCCATAGCACCCGCGGGGACTGTCACCAGCTGCTCCATCCGGATGCCAGTGCTGCCCTGATCCAGGGAATCCATCTTCCCTCTGCTTGGACAGCCAGAATTGCCTTTTGCTGGGGCGGGGGGAGATTGCTCTGAGCCTGCAAGCGACAGCTTTAATGTTTAATTTCAGGCTTTGAGAGGTTTGGCAATTAAGTTGATGGAGGCTAATTTCCGAGCCAGCTGACGGGGTGAGCCCACAAGCCGCTGGCACACGTGCTGAGGCCAGAGGGGCTGCAGGGCAGGACCACGGGTGCTGGGGGACACGGGGTGATAACCCACGCACGAGGATGCGAGAGCTGAGTCTGAGGAGCCCAAATGCTTGCTGGCACCGGGTTCCTGACCGGGAGCTGTGATGGAAACAGCAAGGGTGAGGGGCCAGGGTCCCATTTTTGCTCACTCCCATCGCTAGGAAGCGGCTTGTGCTTTATACCAAAGTGTGGGATGCTTTTATGAATTTGTGATGTTCTTGTCTGTTTTCCCTGAAAACCAAAGCACAGGGCAGCGGTCCCCGTGCGGGCAGAAAACGGCAGGTTCAAACCACCCTGTCCTGCCTGTTTTGACGGGCGCTATTTGCCCCGAGGAGAGCTCTGCCATGGAGGTCCCTGCTGCTGGGTGCCAGGGCAGCCGGGCTTCCCGTCGTCCCCCCAGGCTGGGCCATGGCTCACACCATCCTCACCTTCCTCACACCGGGGCTGGAGGCCTGCAGCAGGGCCTGGTCCAGCCCCAGGGGCAGCAGAGCGGGTTTGTGCCAAGGGCTGGGGGACACGGCACGCTGTGCCGCTGGGATTGTCCCCTCGGGTGCTGACAGCCCTTGGGGACCTGCTCGCCCCAGCCCCAGCAGCGGGAGCATTTCGTGCCACATGCAGGGAAATGGGGGTGGGTGGGGAGGGGTGGGGTGTTGATTTGGGGTGTGTGTGTGTGTGTGTGTGTGTGTGTGTGGGGCACTGTATGCCCAAGTAAAATACCCTCTGAAATACAGGCTTTTTTTTTTTTTTTTTGCACGAACCTAAATTCTAA